AGAGGGAGAGGGAGAGGGAGAGGGAGAGGGAGAGGGAGAGGGAGAGGGAGAGGGAGAGGGAGAGGGAGAGAGAGAGAGATCCCTGAATCTAATTTCTTTCCTTTTGTTTCTTTTTTGAGCATGACTACTAACAAGCCATAAGTAACTCCCTTAAACAAACACCATCCATCAACCATCAACCTCAGCTCTCCTCTCAGGGGCCCTAGCATTTATAGACCCTCTGAAAAGTTCCTTCCCAGAATTCCAAAGTCACACAATTGCAGAAACTATCTGCAAAAACTATCTGGCAAAATCGTGGCCCTGCTAGAGCACGAGGCAAATCATAGTTAGCTGCTCCAGATAATCTGAAGCAGCCCCAGATCCCACACCTGGGATTAAAACAGAAACACTTTCTTATACTATGTCTGTGTTTTTAAAGCACCCCAAATTCCCGAATCCTCACTACAAAAGTCTCCTCCGTTCCTCTGGCTGTAGCTCAGGTATCCACAGCGCCTGTTTTCCGGGCTGCCTGAGCCTTGAAGGTGCCCTACAGATCTCTTCTTCATCTGTCACCTACTAAGCGTCGCTACCTCTGTGATGGCACTACTCTCTGATAAGCCTTTGATTGGGCCAGTCTTTCTAGTTTGTGTTCATCTGTGTGTCCTCACAACGCTCACATGCAGTGGGTAGTCAATAAAAGTGTTAAGATGCTGTTGCCAAACCCCCTTGGACTTTGACTAGTCCCCTTAACTATACTGTGTAATGCTGGAGGTACTGGATTACAGCATACCTTCTGGAGATGCAGTGGGAGGAACATCCGGCAGAGTCTTGCTGTGGCTCTTGGTGGCCTGAGAGAGGTGGCCGGGAGATGTAGCCCTAGGCTGGACAGAGTCTTGGTGTCCTGGCGTCCGCTGGGCTGGGGGAGACTGTGGTTCTGGGCTCCCATTGATAAGCACGATAGGTATGTCCACTATGGAGTTGGTGACAGACGGGGGGCAGCTACTCGCCTGCTCTTTAGCCACTGGAGTAGACTGGACTGCTTGGGGCTGGCCCATGCCCAGTACGGGGTTACGAGGAGCCTGGGCATCACTAGGTCTCACACACTGGGACCCTCGGTCCAGGCTGTGGAGGCTGGAAGATGAGCTGGCTGGACTTCCCAAGGATCTAGAAGATGATGGATAGCTGGAGAAGCTTGAGTGGGGGAGGGACTGATTGCTGCAGGAAAGAGCACACAAGAGGATTAGGGTGTTGGGTGACAGTGACTTGGGGTCAGAGATAGGTTCTAGAATCTAGCCATCTGGGGGCCCTATCTTGGGTCAATGAGAACATTGCATATACCCTTGTCAAAAACTCAGAGTAAAGAGAACCCTCATCTGAATTCTAAGGGCTGCACCAGGGTACAGAACCTTCCTAAGTTTCCATTTAAACTAGCCAGTGGAGTTAACCTCCAGCAGGTTAGCCAGGTCTGGATTTTCTGCTTTCCCTACCAGGTTGGTCTGATAGAAGGGTCACAGACAGCAGCATCTTCCTTACCCATGATTCTCAAGAGCGCTGTGGGGACAGGCTGCTCCACCTAGACTGAACATGTCTTGGGCTGATGCAGGGGGAATGTTCTATCTGGAGGAGGTCATCTCTACTAGGTGTCTAGGCCAGCAAGTATAGTGGTGGGACCCTAGCTCCTTTGCCAGGGACTGCCTTGGCATCGCCTTTGGAGTTGGTGTGTGGGACTGAGGTCCTGTGGTTTAGTTGTCCTGAACCTGGACAGGCTGCTGTGCATTTCTGTTGTGAGGCCTAAGAACAATGACCTGGGACAATTGAAAGGCCCAGGGGGTTGGTCTCTCCTAACTAGGCTTTGTGAGTACCAGAGGTGGGGAGGGGAGTTGTGGAGGGGGGTTAGGGGAGAAGGGGCTTTCATTCCTAGATGCTTCACCTCAGGCCCCCAAGCCTGTGTACACCTCTGAAATGTACTTATTTTTAAGTCATGTGAGTGTCATGCCTGTGGAGGTCGGAGGAGGGCACTGGATCCCCTGGATCTAGAGTGGCACAGATGCTTGTTAGCTGCCATATGGGTGCTGGGAACTGACCCTGGGTACTATGCCAGAGAGGGAATGCTCTTAACCATCGGGCTACTGCTCCAGTTCCCATCCCTAAGCTCTCAAAGTCCTTCCTTAGATGGGTCATGTGAGGGCTGGAAAGAAAGCAGGTGAGTCTCTTTAAAGTAGCTCTCTATTCTCAAAAGGTCAAGAAAGATGGAAGCCAAAGGTTTAGCACACACTGAATTATGTTCTAAATGCTTTGAGGGGAACTTGAGCTAGAAACGTGATACTAGAAAAGACAATCTCCATGCTTCTTCTCTTCATGCCCATGCATTTGCTCACAGAGCAGGATGCCCTTCTAGTGTGTGTGTGTGTGTGTGTGTGTGTGTGCGCGCGCGCGCGCGCGTGTGCGTGCACGTGATACCATGCATGCAATTGCGGTCTGAACACAGACAGATCTTACCTTCCAAACACATAGCTGACATCTGATACAGGGCTGGCCGACAGCATAGAGACCCTGCTGCCCCGATGTGGGGCTCTCAGCCCTTTCTCCCAACCTGGAGGAGTTGCCAGTGGGGAGCCTGAGGCCCTGCTCTCCCGGCAAGGGATGGAACTGCTAAGGGAAGAAGGAGTGTGGGGAGAGGGACCCCTTCCCTGGTTCCCAGAGAAGATGAGGCTCTCGCTGCTGCTGCTGCTTCGAGTCTCTCGGGGGATGTCCCTGGAGAGGAAGAGGCCACCACTGCGTGGGGAGCCAAATGGTGGGGTGACACATGGGCTGGAGCAGCGTTGGGGACCGTCAAGGCATCTTGATCTGGTGGAGGTCACTTCGATGTACTTTATATCTTTGGGGGAGGGGAGAAAGAAAACACTGCTGAATCCTGGGGGCCAGAGAGAATTGTTGCTTCCTCTCCAGACTTGAGGTGGAGCACTGTCTGGCACAGGTGGTGGAAACTGGGGGTGCACAAGCTGTCCCCCTTCTAGAGGGTCACGAATCCTTTCTGTGGCTTCCCAGGATGGAAACTAGGGTAGAGCCCTGGAGAGCACTCAGTTTACTAAAGCGCCTCGTCCCTTCTCTATCCAGCCTGCCTGGGGTATTCATGCTTTCTTCCTCACAGCCTGGTGAAAGTAGCCAATACTTTAGGCACACAGGGCTGGTGGATTGACTCGGGCATGCTGGTTCAGGCAATGTGGAAACAGGCTGGCTCTGCAGTCACAGAAACTTGGGTGTGAATCCTGACGTCAGCACTTTCTAGCCAGGAGGCACTGAGTAACTTTCCAGATCTCTCTCCACCTCAGTTTCCTTATCTGCAAAGCTGTGATCTAGACTCAGCCTCCCAGGGTGGTGCTGAGGACCAAACACAGGATGGATGGAGTCTGGCTCATGGTGGACCTCTTCAAGGAAGGAACATTCCCCACCAGTTGCCCTTGGTAGTCCAAAGGAAGCCCTCTCGCTGGCTCACAATGGGTATCTTTGGCTGAAGAGGATGAAGTAACATGATTTGGGGAACTACACTGTAGACTCTGAGAGGAGAGCTGAGAGTGAGAGAGATTCTTCCAGGAAGCTGGCAAGTACAGTTCACACACACACACACACACACACACACACACACACACATAAACCTTTTGAGACACAATCTATCCCCAAACTCCTTAAGTAGCCCAGGATAACCTTGAACTTCTGATAATCCCACCTCTACTTCCTCAGTGCTGGGAATCACAGATCTGAGCCACCGCTTCTAGTTTTATGTGGTACTTGGAGGATGGGGGATAGAACCCAGGGCTTTATGCATGCCTGGCCAGCCCTTTACTGAGCTACATTCCCAGCCCTAACGTCTATTTTTAGAAAGACTTTATAGTGTTTATACCCATAACCACTTCTGACCCTCACACTAGCCCTTGGGCAGACCAGACATCGTTTTCACTGAGGCAATCGGTGACTGGAGAGCATGTGGGAGTAGAATTGAGGTTTCTCGCATAACTTTTACCAAAGCTAGGCAATTGCTAGCACACAACATAGTTGCTACCTGTGCTGTTACCGCAGCTCTATTCAAATGCTACAATCCTTAAGTAACAAGAACTCAAGGCTTGGCTAGGTTAAATTAGCTTTCCAATGCCACACAATGGAAGGCATGGAAGAAACTCCAATTTCTGCCCTTCAGCTGTGGTAGGGGCTTTTTCTAGGACAAAGAGGAACTCTTTGAGATCTCATTTTAAGTCCTTCCTGATGCTTGTTCTGCCCCAGTGTGGGTCTCTCGGCCTGGGAGGTTACTAGCCCTCAACTTCATGAGTCTTAAAAGTATCTAAGTCCTTGTATGGGAGCTGAGTAGGGCGGGAGGGGCTCTGCGCTGTGAGTCACCCCCACACTCCTTGTCCTGAGGTAGATGGCTGGGGAGGTGGAGGCTCCCACCCCATCTCTGGGGTGCAGCCGCTGTTTACAGGCCTGTGGGGCAAGTCCCGGCAGTGTAGGGTGGATGTAGGCGCCAGCCGCAGGCCTGGCCGGTGAAGGGAGGGCATGTGGGTGGGGGAGGAGAGACAGTTATTAAACAGCCTGCCCTTGGGACTGGCAAACAGCCTTGCCTGGCAGAAACTGCTGGAAAATGAGATGTGGGGACCTGTTCCAAGGATGGGGTGGGAGGTCGCAGAGAGGATAAGGGAGATGGTGTTTGGGTCTAGGAGCCAGGAGCCCTCTGGGATAGTGACCCTGAAGGACAAGTATAAAGAAAGGTGATCAGGAGGCAAGGAAGGGGGGTGCTGACCAAGTTCTGGGGTAAGAGAGGGCTCGGCTGAGTTTCAGAGAAGTTTGTAGGTTGCCTCTCAGCAAACTCCAGTTTAGGGAGAGAGACAGGAACAAGAGGATTAGAAAGCCTGACCGGCCAGACAGTAGGGGGTGACTGAGGACCATGGCTTCCCTCCTCGACCTCAGTTAACACATCTGTAAAATGAGATCACTGTGATTTCCCTCAGCCGCAGGGACATACATCACAGGGGCTAATCTTCACAAAAGGAAGTCTGTACGGCTCTGTCTAGAGAGGATGATCAAACTCTGTGACGGTTGAGCTTTAACCAAGGGAGGAGAAAAAGGATCGTGAGCCTCTGCTGGTTCCTGGGGACAGGGTCCTCCAAAGGAGGATGGATGGGATGTGTGGGGGCTGGGGAGAAGGGTAGTATCCACACTGAGGATGTGAAGACTTAAGGGATCTCACCCAAAATTATGTGCAGTGTCCTGGGCCTGAGGGTGCTTTCTCACCAGCAACAGTGGCCCACAGGAGGGTCTGGGGAGGCTGAGAAAGGCATAGCAGGCATCTGCCATTCTTGGTGAGGGGAAGAGCAGTTTCCTGAAGGGTGCTGATTTAGTCTCACTGTCTTGGGAGGAAGGGGTTCTTAAGTAGGAGAGGCATGTGAGCAGTGGAAGGAGGCAGGATTGATACTAAGAAGAACGAGGGGGTTGAGTATGCCTGTAGTCCTCCAGAGACAGTGGCTGGAGGTTGCCTGGTTGCTGGTTAGCCTGGGCTACAGAGCTAAGACTTTGTTTTAAAAAGGGGCATGGGGGAGGCGGGGAGAAGGGCAGAGGGCTGTCAGGGCTTTCTGGCCACTGCCAGTTTTTGTTTGTTTGTTTGTTTTTTGTTTTTTCTGTACTCCTTGTTCCCCAGAGTTGGATGGACCCATGTTTATAGTGACAGGCTGTACCCAGAAAACTTTGAGGATGGGGACCCCTTTGCCATTTGCTTACCATCATTCCTTCAGTGGAGGAGGACGTGGGTTGGGCGTCTACCCCCACACCCCACCCTATGCATGTGGACTTCTAATACCGATCTTGTCCCAACTGGTTTTGGCTGGGTGGAATCCCTTCCCTGGGGCATGAACATTAAAACCCTGGGCTGGCTCCTGCCAATGGTAATTAGGTCTAAAGCGCTTCCCTGGCCGTGATGTGGCCATGACTGGCCTGCAGCAGGAGAAGACTGCTGGGGAAGTAGATAGCTCTTTTCTTAGGCCTGGCAGGACTAGGGTAAGCAGTGAGGCCAGGATCCCCTGCTGGGTGCAGGAGGGCCTGGGTGCTCTTCTGGCTTCTATCCCAGAGTCTAAACTGACTTAGGGCTGGCCGAATAGGCAATCTCCGCTCTACCATGGCTCAGTGCACCAAGACTTGTGACAAACAGATTCTTTCAGGTTAAGAGCTCTTTTTTGTTCATTTCGTAGATGAGGAACCAAAGATACGGAGGTGATGTCAACAGCTTACGTAAGGTCCGCCTGAGCCCAGGTTAGATGGGTTCCTTATTCAAGCCCATGTTAACTTAGTCGTTCATCTGTAAAAAGGGGTCAAATTCTCACCTCAGTGAGGTAGGATAGGAGGACTGAAGATTCCTAACTAGTGCTTTGGAAGGAGAAGGCAGGAGGAAGAGGAGGAGGAGGAGGAAGAGGAGGAAGAAGAAGAGGAGGAGGAGGAATTCAAGGTTATCCTGAGCTACTTAGCATGACTGAGGCCAGCCTGGGCTACATGACATGCAGTCTTTAAAAAAAAAAAAAGATTCTGTAGAAGGCACTCAACATAAGAGTGGGGCCTGGCACGCAGTAAGTACTCTGTAAGTGAACGTTGTCCTAGATCCAACCGCACCGCCTGGCTCCGGCCGTCTGAGCCCTGGAGGCCTGAGCTGTCAGTCTGCCCCATAGGTCTGCCACTAGCCACCTGTCATTCTCAGAATACTTGAGATTTTCTATGCATGGGAAACTGAATTGGCACCCAGGGCTTTCCAGATTCCCTCGGACTGAGCATATTGGTGTTGGCTTGTACCGGCTTGTTAAAGAGCTAAGACGGCAGATTTCACGATGTTGTCTAGCTGGTTGCTGAACACGGCCATTATTAACAATCACATCCTGCAAACTGATAGTGGAATAACTTAGATTCAAAACAAACAAACAAAAAATGCTGACCAGGCGCAGTGTCCACGAAAGGAGATGGAGTTTTAGGGACTAGCCTGGGCTACACAGAGACTCTGGTCTCAAAAGAAAAGAAAGGAAAGGAAAGGAAAGGAAAGGAAAGGAAAGGAAAGGAAAGGAAAGGAAAGGGAAGGAAAGGAAAGGAAAAGACACCAAAACAAAAAAAAATCAAACCTCTAAAAAAAAAAAAGCAGACACATTCTAAATACATACATTCCCATTATTACCGTTCTGTGTGCTTTGAGGTTATATAGCTATTGTATTGGTACAGTGAGATCGATTTTTTCAGTAGCTTGGAACTGGCCAGGATGGGACAATTTAGACTATGGAAATGGTAGATGCTTCAAAACAGGACTTCTTCCTCCTGAACGGTGAGCCAGCGTCTTTTCTCTTGAGTTCTATGTCTGTCCCATCTCACAATTCCCAGCTTAGACCTTTCTCAAGAGATGTTCCCCTAAACAGGGGCTAGGGCCACCTAGAACTCCTATGATAATTTCAGGGGACCAAACTTAGACTATAAAGAGAAACATCAAGAACTTAGGTAAGTCCGAGGACCCTGCAATCAGGAAGCCTTCACTATGTGCATGTCAACTGCTCACATGGATGAGCATATTTCAGTTCCCATAAAAAAACACATGAAACTGGAGTCTACCAGTTTTCAAACTCTGGACCCAGACAGAATTGTACAGTGAGAGAAACTTGTATTTATACCTTTTGTGCAACAGAGAAATCAGAAAGGTCAGAAGCTTGTTTAGGGCTGCATAGTACTCCCCACAGGACAGGCCCACCTGTGCCTCAGATTTTGTAGAAGAGCTCTTATTTGATTGCGATCTGTCCCCCAGCTCCCCTCTTGGTTGTGCCCCAAAATCTTACCTAAGGCTTCAGGTTCCTCCTTCTTGTTCCTTGAAGTGATACTGTTGGCAGACTCAGCCTGGGGACCAGCAATCCCAGAGGGAAGCAACTGGAAGGTGGGGTCTAGCTCAAGGATCATCTGGTTGAGGGCCTCCAGTGAGAAGTCAATGCAAGAGTCCAGATCCTGCGAGCCCCCTGAGGCCTGCTCCCCAGGGCATTGAAGGAGGCTGTGAGCTTTGGCCTCAGCTTGCTGGACCTGCTGGAGCCTGTTGGAGCTGCCTTTGCAGAGCGTGGGGGCCATCAGAGGCTGGGTTCCCCAGCTCTCTGTGGTGTAGTAAGGACACAGGGCTGGGAGGCCAGGGCTGGGGGTTGGGTGCAGGGCCATCCTGGATTCCTCGTGGGGAGTCAGGCTGACCACATGACCTCCAGCCAGCAGGGAGCTGGACATAGTGGGGCAGCGAGGCCAGTGCTTTACCTCTGGCTTCCAAGCAGCCTCACTTCTCCCTGGAGCTAGATCTTGCTCACGAGGGCTCCAAGGACCTGAAAGACGAGGGTGGGATCTCTGTAGGTGAGCCCCCTGCCCAGGGTCTCAGGGAAAGACAAATTAGCTCCTTCAGTTAAAGGCTCACTGGGCTCCTGGCTCTGACACTCACTGGCTGTGTAAGTTTGGACAAATGAATTAACTTTTCCCCAACTTGGTTTCCTTATTTAAAAAATGAACTAACGCTAAAAATATGCTCAGGACAATGCTTGGTACAGCCGAGCCTATGAAAGGGATGGTTAGGTGACTTAAAGGGATGATTAAGTAATCACTTACGATGTCATGCACAGATTTCTAGATGAATGCTACCCAGTTATTTATGAGGAACTACCAGGTTCATGAAGCCCTTTCAAGTCCTTACAACAACCTTATGAGGTAGGAACCACTATTATCCCATTACACAATAAAAAGAATGGTTCAACTGTCACATTGGCAACCAATGTCAGAACAGGACTGGACTCTAGGCTGCCTGCTGTCTGACCTTCTGTCCTGAGGCTAGTTGGTGAAATGGATCAGCAAGCAGGCGACCAGGTATGCGTAATATTGCAGGGGACTCAGGGACTTGGAGGAGATTCTGTGGCACTGGTAGGGATGACAGCAGGGAGGACTTTGTGGAGAAGGGGACATGCAAAAGTGGAAAAGAAGGAGCTAGCAGGGCAAGGCGGGTAAGACTGAGGAGGCAAGGAAGTATTCAAGCAGTAGTACAGCTTGTGCAAAGGCCCAGTGGCCAGATGGGAGGTCAAAGATATCCAGGAAGCATGTGTTTGGGATGGAGGGACAGGGTAGAGCCAGTGGACTGTCTAGGCTCTGCCAAGACTCACAGGCTCAGGACTGACAATTCAAACCCTGGAGGTAAGAGCAAGCCACAAGAATGTTTTGAACAGGGTAGTGACGTTGTCTGCTGACAGTCACTTCCCTGGGGGCTCATCCAGAAAGAAAAAGAAACATCATAACTTTATAATCTTCTCCATGTGAAAAGTTCTTACTATTGTCTAACCTTGATGGTTGTTTCTCATGGATTGTTGTTGAGGAGGAGGTAAAAGGTTCTAGGACAGCCTAATGAGAAAGCTGGGTGGAACAGGGACATGCTGACCTCAATCCTTCTGGCAGCTCTGAGCTTTGTTGCCTGCCCACCGTGTCAGAGCATGAAGCTACAATGTGCTGCGTGAGGAACCATTAAACAGTTCTGGAGTTGAGTTAGAAACTGGGGTTCATGGACTATGACATCCTTAGAAGGGGTTTCCCAGGTACCGAGCACCCGTCAGGTACCAGGCACTGGTCAACATGCCTTACGCAGCTGCTCCCGGTAATTCAATCTTCTTGAGGCCCTAGCCTATGGTCTCAGTCCATTTTACCCCCAGAAGATACCCAGACTCACAGAAGTTAAGAAAGCACCAGGGATTAGGTGTGATGCACACACCTGTAATCGCAGCACTAGAGTTGTACAGGCAGGAGGAGCTACACAGCCAGTTCAAGGCCACCTTGAGATAGATGAGTCCCTATCTCAATTCCCCCATCCCTCATCCCACAAACCAACCAATCAAATAACCTACAGAATCCCAAGAGGCTTCGTATTTGAGATTCAAATCTAGGCCTTGGACCCTTGTAATCTTAACTCCTTAAGCCACATGGAGTTCAAAGGCAGAGGGGTCACAGAGGGGGCATGGTATGTATGCCTAATGATAAGAAGCCAGGCCTGTCTGACCACCACTCCCCCACCCCTCACCCCAGGCTCCTATGGCTATGTTATCAGACTTCTTGGCTGGGTCCTGGAAGGGGAGAGGGGGACTCGTGCTGGTGTGGGGAAGTCATGTGGTGAATCAAATCCACAAATGGCAGTGGAAGGGAGCTGGCTTCTGATTGTCTTCCTTGGGGGCAGCTGAGGACACAGAGCCCAAGACACAGCTTTTCCCACAAAGTCTCCAAGAGTCCAAGGAGCCAGGCACAGCTTGCAGGGTTCACTGCCAGGCCTACAGAGGAAGCTGGGGACTCTGGGCTGGGTGTACTGGAAGCTGAGTATCCCCCATGACTAGGACTCAAGATTGCCCAGATGCTGCCTGTGTGCTCCTGTGGAAAGGATACTTCCTTCTCTGAGCAGATCTCAGAGGTTTTATCCATCTTATGGTGACTTGATCATAACAGACACTCGTTCTTTTTCCCAACAGTTCTGAGGGGGGAGTGCTGGCAGGGCTGAAGGCCTTGTCCAGGCTACAAGTGTATGTCTTGGATCCCATGGTAGGTATTCTTGTCTCTAAAAGTCCCACAGGATTACCCTCTGTTCTCTGTCTGGACCTAGCGGATACCAAGCTTCAGGGATAGATGCTGACAGGAAACTCTTCGGCATTTTCTCAGTTAGTCTTCCCAAGTCACCCCTGGACTCGGGTCCAGGCTCTGTCTGCTCCTCTAAGATGTTGCTATACACCCCAGGGCCCCCCAGTGTACCCCTCTAGCTGGATTCTTTATGCTCTATATCTCAGGGAGGAGTGCCTGGGCTCAGATTGTGTGTGTGTGTGTGTGTGTCTGTCTGTCTGTCTGAGGAAGGATTCCAGTTATCTCTGCCCTATTTACAGGTCCCTCCTATGCCTTCTCTTCTTCAGATTCTAACTCTAGTTCCTTTCTCTTTCCCTCCCCAAAACTCTGGGGGCAGGGAACCCCTGGGGCAGCTGGAAATCCCTCATGGTCATCCTGGTTCACTTCGTAGGAGTCCAGGTAGAGAAGGCAGAGGATGAAGTCCCAGTCTCCCCCACTGCACAAACCCAGGAACCCCATCATTTGAAATTACTCCTCATTGTCTCTTGCCTCCCTAAGAGCCATGTGGCCTGACCTGGGGCAGCAGACAGTGGGCAGCCTCCTAGTTCCGCTTAGTGCTCTGTCTACTCGTCAGGAGACCTGGGTCTGTCCAGGATCTAATCTGGTGTCCAAGATCCCAGGGCCAGCTTCTTTTTTCGTGGCCTTGGATTCTTTTTATCTGTGCACCCGGGTGCAGACTTAGCTCTAGTTTAAGCGCAGAACTGGGTTCTCCTACCCTCACCCCCACCCAGTGAGTAAAAGCGCCTACCTGTTCGTGGCCGCTGCTCCACTCACATATGACTTCCAGGATCAAACTGAGCCCAGGTAAGTTCCAAGAGGAGGAGCCTGAAAACCTCAGGACGCGCCTTAAAAACAGCCCGCCCTCCGCCTGCTCTGCTTCTCCCCTAAGGCCCTACACGTGGCCTTGACAGCGAATGGCCCCGCCCCAGAGGTGTCCTAACGTTCAGGTGGGGCATGCACAGACTGGGAGGGGCATGTGTTAGGGATGGAGGATGCACCGGTTAGTGTGTGTGTGTGTGTGTGTGTGTGTGTGTGTGTGTCAGTAGGGGCCCTAAGCTCCTAGCTTGGCCCTTCCCGTGTACCACGTGATCAGGAAGATGCCTAGACCAAGGTGTGCTGCTGGTTTCTCTCTTACCTTATGTAGGAAGGAGGAAACAGTGGGTTGGCAGAGACAGTGAGAAGGGAGAGCTTGGGGTCTTGGTAAAGGACACTAGTGGGTAGGAGACCCTTCCCCAGACCTATCCTGTAATCTGGACGCCTCTGTGAGGCCCACATGTGGTCTATCATTCCCTCTGTTCTGTTACAAGGCCACCTCCAGCCTGACAATGAGGCTTCTGGCCTAAGGAAAGAAGGGGAAGGTTCTTCAGGGCTCTCCCTAGGGCTACCCTGCTTCTCAATGATTCACCCTGCTAGGTGGAAGGCATCCTCTCCCTTTTCATGGCTCCAACTCCCTCCCTGCCAGGGGTCCTCAGGATGCTGTGAGGAATGTCCAGTCAGGATGAGGGACACTGGGGGCAGACCCCCATCTGAGCAGGTTGGTGTGAAAGGTTTTCAGCCTGGAGACACACGATGACCCTAGCAGGCGGATCTTGAGAGTGGGTTGCCCAGCATCTGGATTCTGCTCTGCAGTGCACTTTCCGAATTGTTTTCAATGCCCTGTGATTTTGGAGACCTGTGATGAGCCAGTGAGCCTGCAAGGTACAAGGCTGCTCTTTTTGAGAATGACATTGAAATGGTCCTCTGGTGTCCGTATGATCCAGCAGATGCCAGACTTGGCAAATACCTAATGTATCCTTGAAGGAAGAAACTGGCTAGCTGCGAGCTAAGGTGGGCACGGTCTGTAGGCGTCAGCTTCGTGGGCGGGTGGGAGGAAAGACTGCTGAGTTTCTTGGGTGGAAGGGTGGGCTGCATGGAGGAGAAATGGCTTTGCAGTTGTAGCGCAGTTGGTACGTTGCTTGCCCATCATGTAGATATGATTTTTTGTTTTTTTTTTTTTTGCAGTTAGCCTTTTTTGGTTCACACACAGTCACTTCCTCCAGCTTAACCATCCCAGAACGCTGATTTCACTTTCAGCTGCCCACCCTCTTCTCCCCACTCCCTGCTTTTTGATGCAACCAGCATTGCCAAAGGGGTGACATATCTTTGTATATGTTTGGTAGGACTGTCTTCCTCAGGGAGGGTTTCCATCTTGCGTTTGCATGCCAGGGGTAGATTTCGTGATGCTGCTTAAATCTTTTTTGGATTTGATAATATCTGGTAAAGAAGTTGGTTCCTGTACTCATGAGGGTTATCAGTCTGCAACTGTCTGACCCTTGTAATACCTTTGGTTTGGGTATTAGGGTAAAGCCAGCCTCATGGACAGTCAGGAAGGAACTCTCTTACGCCTGCTTCCTGAAAGTGAGTGTGCAGGGAGCTGGTGTGCTTTCACCCTGAACTATTTCATACCCCTCCTTCTGCAGTGAACCATCCCGTTGTTTCTGTTGTGGGAGATGATTACAGCTGCCCAATCCTGATTCCTGAATTCCACACTCATAGAATCAACAAAATGCAGGTTAGACAAAGCTGTGTCATGTGCAGACTTCTTGTCATTATCTCCT